TATCCCATGATTTTTATGAAAACAATCGACAATAGGTAAAGAAATTTACTATGAAAAATTATATGTAAGTGGAGAATATATGCAGAAAATAAGATTTGGCTACAAGTTTAGTTTTATTTTTAAATTATGGCACTAAAATTGAAATAATAAGTTGAGTCAAACTATTTGTATGATTCTATCTTTGTTGGTTATTTATAAATCAAAGGTTGATGTATATATTTTTTAAATTTATTATTGGTTCAAATTTTGACAGTATTTAATTTTCATGAAAATAATTTAAAATTAAATTGATGTATGTGAATAATTATTATTATTAAGATATGGTGTTTTCATGAATTAATTTGTAGATAATAAACCAAATAATTATTATTATAATGAAAATAGGTAGTGTGACATGTATTTTACCTATTGAGTGTATTATACTAGAAGTGATTTTACAAAATAAAATTCTATTATGAACAATCACAAAGTGAAAATCATAAATAGTCATCAAAGAGTTAATCAATGGTTACACAAAAGTATTATTGCTTTTCGCATATGGGATATTGATTAAAAGAAAATGCATGTCATTAAAAATATTGAAGTATTTGTCGATTACTAGCATTTTGAAGGATGCTCATCAATATCTAATTAGCCATGTTTATAAATTAGAAAAGAATATGCAAATTCAATGTTCCAAAGGCACCAATACATACATATGTTTAATTCCATTTTGTGATGGCATGGAGAAAATTGATACAGTTTGCCATATATTACAAAAATGAACTGAATGTGATGAAAATTTTTTTTATATACATATAAGAAAGATATGGACTATAGAGATAAAATGCCATCATTCAATTAATACATTATTGATTAAAAACAATGAATATATTTTTACTTTTTTTATCTGAAAAAATAGCCTTTTATAAGCTATTAAAATGAAAAGTAAACCAGTTTCCGAGGTTTTCAATAGTTTAATAACAATGGCAAAGATGTGGCTAGTTATACACCATATCAACATATGAACTTAGACAATAATATTGGTTTGTGAAAGTCATAAGCCTTGGAGTTAGCCAATTAATGATTTAACTAATGCAAATTCATCATGATTTTTGCATGAAATATAAGTAAAACTCATATTATAATTATTATTTATACTACTTTATGAACATGATTCTTTGGACTCATGTTTCATTACTTGTGTTGATATGGTGGTTTAGATATGAACATATTGATCACAAAATGATTGTGAAAGTATTTAAAATTGGAGTTAAATATACTATAAACTATTATTATACATAGGCATATTGGTCATACGAGTACAGTTTGAATTTATTATATATCTGAAAATATTATGATCAATTAAAAGTGATAAATAACATAGATATATAGGCTATATAATGAAGGAGAAATAAAGTTCTCATAAAATTTTGAAATAAAAGTTTGAGGTTTCAATTGTCATGAACTTTGAATTGGCTATTAGGCAATTAATATATGCATTGAAAACTCATTATAACATTTAAAATAGTTGGTTTTTACTAAAAACAATCATTATAAATGAGATAACTTCAATAGTTAAATCTATATGATTTGTAGGTACGATGTGGATTATTATAATTGGCTTAGAATAGCCATAAGCTAAAATTGATGCCACAATCTTGATATGTTGTGAATTTTTTGTTATGTATATGATCTAATTCATGGATTGTACAAATGATTTATCATGTATAGTTTTATATTCAAAGTATATTTACTTTGGAAGCTATGAGTGATTCAAAGATCTTGTGAATATGAAAACTTTTATAATAGTAAATGGAATGCTATTTGATCCATTTGAGTGATAGAAATGATTTTGTTCATGGTAATAAAAATTATTAATAATGTCCATGATGAGATCGATTCATATAAGTATTTATGAATTGACATAAAAAGTCTTAAAATGAGACTATAAAAGCATGATTATATTTGAAATCTACTTATTGATGTAAACTTTTATATTGAGTTAAAATATAAAAGTTTTGAAACTTTTATAGAAATATTAAGATATTTGCTAATTATCTTTCACTAAGAGTGGATTTAGAAGCCTCTTACTTAAAAAAAATGCCAAATAGTGAAAAGATAAATGAAATGGTAACTTAATTAAGTATATATGATATCTTGACAATTGAATGTGATATTCTTTAATAAAAGAATGTATACTTATACATGGTAGGAGTGATAAAAATCAAAAGAAATAAAAATGGCCACCATAATGTTGTAAGATTTTAGTATAATTTTATGAGCAAATTATACAAGCTAATAAGTTTACATACTTATTAAAGTAAAATCATAAAAATGTACTTAAAAATCTTAAAAGAACTAAAATGGTTTAGTTTATTCATTGAGTTTATTCAATTATACTAGAAGTATAATTTTATTAAAGATGTATAAAAGAATAAAAATAGAATGGTTAAAATTTATGAGTATAAAATTGTGGGCACAACCAATACTAACTATTTCTTAAAATAATAAGAATAAGGCAACAATGTTTGAAGCATATAAATGATATATAAAATGAAAATTTTGGACATATTAGCCTAAAGTGATTATATTATAGATTAAATCTTAAGTGAGGGTAATTACCATAAAAGAAAATTGAATTCCAAGATATTTGGTTAGTATTACTACAAGTAGAATGGATTTAAACCCTTACTATTATGTATTAATAATGAGAACATAACTTTGAATTAGTAACCTCTAATTACAAAGTTTAATGGGTAAAAACAAGTTATTATTTTGTATCTATTAAGCATTAGTAAAAGTCATTTAAATTTTAAAAACTAATGTGATTCATTACATAAAGAGGATGAGTTTTTATACTTTTAATGAAGTTTTAAATGTCTAAAGTAATAGAGACATAATAGAAACTCTACCTATAAAAATATGGAAGTGTTGCTACTTTAACAAGAAAAATTAGGATCTCTCTTATAAATATTTATGAATAGGATAAACATTGGCTATAATAGTACTAAAAATGGTTATAAATCTCTGATAGATGAATATATAAGTATTATGTGTATTATATCTTTAATTCTAACATTAAAAGTTGAAGTTTAATTATGGACACCATCAATTTCGTTAGAATTTTAAGACATATATGTTAATTAAAGGTTTAAATTGAGAGATACCTTCTTATAGTCATAATATTTATTTGAGTGAGAGGTTAAAGTTTAAGCACCAATATTCCAAACTAGTGATGGACTGTTGATAGTTAGAATGTGGTGCATCTCACATTTGATAGAAAGATTTAATTATTAATGAGTAAATTTAATTTTTGTATTAATTCTATTCATATTTTAAATAATTATATTTGAATCAAAATAATTATTATAAGATAAATGATCATAATTATTTGAATATCAATAAATTATTATTTATAAAAGTAATGATTATACAAAAAATATGATCATTTGAATAAAAATTTATATCTGTTCATTCATCATAAATAAATCTTTTAATATAACTATTTTTACTACTTTTAATTAGAGAGTTTGAGATTTATTGTATCCTTAAAAGCATAATTGTCTTTAAAAAAATATTTTTCATATCTCAAAGTTAAAATTATTTTTATTAGTTTTCTTTTCTTATTTATTTTTTCTTACAGAATCTGTGCTCACCACCATTGTGCTGCCTGCTGATGCGATGCCCCTGTCTGGTTCCTTGTAGATTGAGTTGCCATGGGTTCTATCCGTTAATGATATTGTTACACGATAATGATCTGCTTTCCTGGTTAAGTGGTTATTGAAGCTATTCACATCCCTTCAAGTTAAGTTGCGCATGGTCCACTGATTTTCTTAGTATTGATGTGGTTTTGATCTTAAGATTATAAAGTATGGACTCAGTTCCTTACAGTTCCTTAACGCTAAAATAAATAAAAAATTGATTATGTGCATAGAACCTATATAGGATTTTCAATTTGGGTTAATATGCAAAATGATTTTTTTTTTATACATGTTCTCTCAATTAATTTTAGTAACTAAAAAAAAAAAATTCGTATTTAGGTTCTTTAATTTTCACTTCATCTGACATTATCATCGTAAGGATAACTAACTTACGTGGCATGATACTTGATAAAGGATAAGTAACTTACGTTGCATGATACTTAATAAAATTATATCACACGTAATAAATGTTTAATCATCGTTACATTAGTCATTGCCGTATCAATAAAAAATTAAAAAATTAAAATATGATTTCTAAAAAGATAAGAAAAAAATAAAAAAAAAAACAGAAGGAAACGATTAAGAAGAGAGAAGGAGAAGGTGGGAAGGGGAAGAGAGAGGAGAGAGAAGGGGAAGGGGAAGGCAGGGATGACGTCGCCGTTCGGCTTAGGGCCTCGTCGAGGTCGTCTACCTCGGACCTAGTGGGTCGGTGCTGCTGTGGCTTAAACGAGCTGAGTTGGCATCTAGTCATAGGCTAGCCGACGGCACCATCCCAGCGTTCTCTTTTCCCCTCTTCGCTCTCTATCCCGTTTCTCTCCTTATTCTTTTCTTTTTTTTTTTTTTAATTTTGATTTTTAAAAATATTTTATTAATTTTTTAAAAAAATTTTTATTTAAATGTTGATGTAGCAATAGCTGACGAAGTGATTTGGATATTTATGCCGCATGTTATCATTCTCTTGAGTATTAATGTTCTTATTGAATATTAATGTTAAGTAAATAATTTAATTAATAGTAAAATTTTGATAATTAAGTGAAAAATTTATTTATTTAGATATTAATAAAAAAAATGAAGGGATATTTTTGTATTTAATCCTTTTAATTTTTTGCTTCAAAATATCTGGCACTTGGCAATTTGAAGCACGTCAATTTTTAGGGACAATTCAACGCGTGCGGTGTAGATGGTATTATCAATATGGATCAAATATAATCTGATGTATAAAATACAAATGATTTTGGCTTTGAACGCATCACTGGAAATCGAATAAGCTCGCAGATATAGAACTCAAACGAACAAATATAGAATACAGTTTGGACTTTAAAAGAACCTGATAATTGTCATTCCGATCAATATTACGAGTATCGGGGGAGGTGAAATGCAAGATGGACTAGAGGCCGATGGCTGTAATACTGGTCTAATCCCAGGATTTACATTGGCTGAGGGAGCTTTTGGTTCTTCTGGCGGTGATGCAGGTATCAAGTCCAGTGGAGCATCAGATTCTGGTGCTGGACCTTCTGTTGAAGCTTTGGAAGCTGTCAAGAAAAAATAGTATTTTTAAGTACAAGGGTCCAGTTTTCACGGTATTGCTCAAACTGCAATGCTGGTTATGTGAATCGAAATATTGGTGCAGATTACCTCCAGGACTTAAAGGAGACGCGGCGGTAGGTGGAAGGGTTGGCGGAAGTAGAAAGGGGACAGGGCCTGCCAAAAAAGTCCATGAACATTAGTTAAAAGTTGTCAAGAAAGATGCTATTTCTGCTTCCCTTCTATTTTGGGGCACTCCACTATTTCAATTTTCATATGGGGATCCAAAGCTCCAGACCGATACATACAGAAATCGCTCTGAATCGAAAGACTGAAGTCGGAGACAGCTGCAGCTCTTACATCCTTGTTTCTCCCCAAGGTTAAAACTAATGGAAAATTTTAAAACCTGTTTCAATTGAACATGTTACCTGGAGCTGGTAGAGGAGTGCCAGAAGCTGCAAAACACATGTAATAGGCTGTTAGATGGTTACTGGGACTCTGAGGTAGACTTGATAATTTTAAACGATAGAAAAGAAGACACGATACATGAATTGTCATATCTACTTAAGGGGAACATTGAAGGATTTTAGATGAGGCAAACTGATTAACAAAACCAATACAAATTAAGGTGCACCTTTGCACTGCATTGGAACGCCACCCATGTTACAAGCTTGGGGGAGACCAAGTGCCAGGGTTCTGTTTATGGGCAGTTGAAGAGGTACATTTGCATTAATTATAAGACAAGCACAATCCGTGCTACTGCTCATGAGTGACTTAAATGAACTGCAACAGCCTTGAGTTGGCGATGAGCCATTGCTAGTGCTTCCAGTGATAAAACTTAGGCAAGGGGCGAAGCTGGAGATCATCGAGGCTGTGCAGGCTGTAGAAGTTTGTCCTTTAACTTGAATGACTGAAATAGTAGATAATATTGCAACGAGTTGGAAGACCTTGTAACCTTCCATAACTTCTAAGTGAAATGGAAGAGTATCGAGTAGTGAAATGGAGTGTAAAGGAAAGACTTATGCTCGTTTGAGAGGGTTCAAGCAATTTGGACAGAAAAGGCAGGCAGTTTTGAAGTAGGTTCTGGAGTTCAACTATTTTAAGTAATTTCAGTCATTAAAGTACTGTTTTTTTAAAACAAATCCAGAAGCTGTTTAGTTATCAAACAAGCCTCAAGTTTAGTAAGAGTTGGTCATCCAAATATATCAACCTGTTTGTGACTTTCCCTCAAGTTGGTTAACCAAAATTCCAAATTCACCTTTACTGAATTGTTTTGGTCACAAAAGTTCTAACAGGAGGAAATGGACTCAGAAGGAGTTGAGATGGGTCTAATCCTAGTCCTAATGGGAATGCTATGGGCTAAGTCATTTAGACCTACAAAAAATTTTTCTAGTGAGTTAGATAATTTTAAAAATTAATAAGCATTTGAAAATTTTCTTAAATAGATTTATTTTTTTATTTTTTTCAAAATATTAATAAAATATTACTTTTATTTTGAATAAATATGATTGAACAAAAATATTACTATCTGATTAAGTTTATTTAAATAAAAAATATTATTATACAAATTGTCATGATTTTTTTTATTGAGAACAAATTTTCATTATTTTTTGAATAAAAATTTTGTGATTGATAATTTATTATAAATAAATCTTTCTAATCAAAATTTCTATTTCCTATTTAAGAATTTTAAAATTTTGTTATATCTTATAGCCATAATTAATTTTAAAATAGTATTCTTCACATCTTAAAACAATATATATTTTTTTCTTATTATTCCTATTTTCTCAAACCTTTCTAACATGAACTACATTACAGTTAATTCATCATCCCCATCATCTACATTCTGCTCACAGCTAAAGAGCGTTCTTCAATCATCGCCACAATGGCTTTGCTCTGCGCTTAATAGTGCCCTTCATTGGGAATTACTATAAACCCGACTCTCGCCCTGCAACTCCCTGGTGCTTATCAGGTGCAAACTCCATCAATTAGCCTGTGTAATAGTAAGCTCGATCAATTAACATTTCATTTCTGCTTAAGCTTACCATACTTGTCTATTAACAAGATGTTTTATATATTAACTTGAATTAAATTTTCCCAGTTGGAACATCTGGAACACCTTCGACTCCAGCAACTCCACCAACAGCGTCTCCAACTGATTCACCATCACAGTCTTCTGATGGAAAACGCGATGGTGACATTACACCATCAGAATCAGGCTTTCTTTCAGGTATGTACGCATTTAAATTGTTCTGGTCACCTGAGCTGACCAAGAAAACAAAATTATATATTCGATTCTAATGGCAAGTTTTCAGGCATTACCACATGACTAAGGGAAGATTTTCATGCTAGTGTTTGGATAAACATGCAGGAACAGGATCTAAATCTGGCCCATAGGTCGAGGGACGATCATCCGATGCAAGTATAGCAAAAACCTCTCTTCATTTGGTTCTCTTCCTTGTCTTCATTGGAACCGTCACCAAATTCCGAGTCGGGGAACTCTGTAGGGAACTGTTGTCTGTTATAGTTGAAGATGATTCTTTATCCCTTGTTTTCCTAATATGATTCTTGTTTCTAATGTTAGCGAGTGTTTTTGTACTAATTTCTTTGAGTTGTTTAATGAGAAATTATTGAGGGACTCTCTTTATTATTTCTTCCAAATTATTAGCTTAACGAATTGAATTCCGAAGTTTGGATCAAGTAAAGGTCCCTTCTGACTAAGCAGCCAAAACAAAAATAATTACTTTAGTTGAAACCTTCTGATGCAATTCAAAATAAAGTATAGATATTTCCATTGGATATCCAAGAATGTATGCCTGTATGGCCAACCATACATTGACAATGTTAATTGTTAACGGTATTTTGATGAAGATGATAGGATGCTTTGCTGGAAGGCTATTGGGAAGCTAATTTGTAAGATAGGGAGCGATAGGGGCGCCGGCGGTAGGACTCAGGATTAGAACGACGTACTTATGTTCCATCCTTACCTTTTATAGCGTGGGTAAGTACTGCCACGGTAAGTGGATGTTGTTGGTCGGGTGTCAGATCTTGGTCTGGCGGTCAGCTGATTTGGTAGACCAACTGGTAGCTGATTTGACAATCAAAGGGTTAATGACTCGACGATCAGGGTGTAACATTACTACAAGTCTGGCGTATGTAGAACATGAAGTTATGCAGCTTGTATGTATTAAAATCGGGTATGTATTGAAAATATAAGAGTGGAAAATAAAAGGGAAAAATAGGCTAAACAGTGTCTCACTTGCATTAGCTAAATTGAGAATCTTCCTGGTCAAGCTAAATTGAGAATCTTCCCGGTCAATCTTCTCTTGCATGCTTCTCTATTGTATTTTGGTCATGAAGGAGAACATATTATTTTGTAAAGCAAGAACGGAAAATTTTTGACTGGAGTGTTTTCCTGGAGAAAGGATCCGGAAAAAACGCACAGGTTGGCATCATAGTTATTTATCTATACTAATATTGAAACCTTTACTGAGTTGGTGTCATTAATTAATCGGACGCCAATTCAGGGCTAGCTTCGATTCCATCGGGAGCTAACTGCACCATGATGTGCATTTGAATAGCACCTTGCGTTGCAGTTGGCTGCATTATCCCCCCGGTCTCTACATGTTGCTTTCATGTTGATATTGTTGTGAGGTCACAGCCCGGGCGCCTTTGCTGTTTTGCCGCATGACTTGTTATCAATGTTAACCAGACTCGGGCAATTATTCTCCCAGGAACTCGTAGTTTAAAGCCTCCCTCCTACTTGCACTTTTCATGTTTGGTGCATTAACATTATTATCACCTAGTTATGCTATCTTGATACATTCTCCCAAAAGTTGTGGGTGCAAATATATCCAAAAATAAAAGAAGCACATGTTCAAGTTTCAACTAAAGAATGAAATTAGGAAGTAAATAATTTGAAAATTAGTTAAATTGGTTATTATTTTTAAGAGATGTTATTTAATAATTTAATAATTTAAAAATTAAAAATAAAAATTTTTTTTCTTGTTACTGTAAAGAAAAAAAAAGAGAAAAATAAAAGCCTTTGAAGTGAAATATCGACTAGGGTTGGCATTGGGTCGGGTTCGAGGCGGGTTTTGCTCGCCTCGAACCCGACCCGATTTTATACTTTATTAAACCCGAATCCGATTCTATTTGAATTTTTTTTTTTTTCATATTCAAATCCGACCCGATTTCAATACTATATAAATCGAACACGACCCGAAATTAATAAAATATTATTTTTTAAAATATAAAATATTTTAAAATATTATTATATAAATATATAAATAAAAAATTAAATAATTAATTAAAAAATAATTTTTTTAATAATATCGAATCGAGTCGAATTTTAAATAAATTCGAATCCGACTCAACTCGAAACTTAAATTTAAATAAAAAAATTCAAACTCATAAGATCGGATTGAGCCGAAACCGTCGGAGACCGGATTAGTTCACCGTCCCTAATATCGACACGCCTTAGGGTAAAGAAAAAAAAATGAAAATCATTGTTTTTTGTAACTTGAGTGTGCTTACCTGTGGAAACGTGAAAGTCTTACTCGATTTCTCTCTATGCATTTCTCTTTCCGTCGCAAATCTTCTCTTCTCAGGCAAATTATACGCTGTCATTTCGCTTTTTCTGTCCTCTCTCTCTCTCTCACTCTCTCTCAACAACGGTGCTCTAATCTTTTTCGTCGTTGCGGCGTCTTGGCTTTCAGGTAAGGCATCTTCTCTTCGTTCATTTCAGAAGCTTTAAAATGAGAGCCTTTTTTTTTAGTTGTCCATTTTGTAATCGATGTTTGTTCTTAATTCCTTAGAATTTGGGTTTAATTGTGAAATTATTGAATAATCTTTCTTCTTTTTGCTAAATTAGAAGTGTATTTTATCCGAAAGTCAAGCAAGGTTGGTTGTACTCGTTTTATAATAGCAAGTTTCTTTTTCTTTATATGACTGAAATTTTAGGGTTTTGTTCTCAATTTGACTCGTTTCTTTGATTTCATTTTTTTGGGGTTTGGGATTAACTGGTTGAGAAAGTGAATTGGAAGTGTGTTTGTCTGTGATGATGAAATTCAATGGATTGGGGCCAATGAAATGTATTTTGGTGCCACGTTTGTTTGTAAATTTGCTTGATTCTTGTGCTTGTTATTTGTGGAAATGTGTGTCCATTGTACTATAAAGTCAGGGTTTTGGCGTGGATCGTATTTTAATGTTGGAAATGGTTGCCTTTCTTGTCAGAAATTGCTTGTGCTTTTATATATTTTTTTAATACTTGAACAATGTAAAGATAGTATCGTAGATCTTTAAATTTGTCGTATTCATATAAATAATATATTAGTGTCAACTTCTATTAGAGGTTTATTGCAATATCATCTCTAATCTTATATGGTGGGTTTATATTTGAGCCGAATTTCGTGAAATTTGTGTAAGTTACTTTTTGTGGAGCTCAGTGCGTAAATCATTTGTTAGATAGTCTGCCTGAGGAGAAGAAAAAAGATTGTTTGTCAGTCAGGTCCGTCTGAGTTTCTCAGCTATGGTAACTTACCTACATGTTTTGCAGATAAGTATTGACGGAGGCATTATAGGGATAGTTACCTGCATGTTGTGCAGACAAGTATTGATGGAGGCATTATAAGGACAGTAATTCAGTTTCGATCTTATTTTATTTCTTGCACGTTCTTTCAGAGATTTCTAAGGATTAGCTTTCATAAGTGCTCTGAAAGTGAGTTGATGGACAAAAACTTAAATATCAGTGTTCTAAAATGGTGGGCCTTTGAGTGAGGTTGTCAATCAGGAACAATTGTTTGGAAAGAGTTTCAACTGTAAACATTTGGATAAAGCTGGAACTCTGAAATCCGTGAACTTGAGATCATAGCCGAGCTTCAAAGTTCAAACTTGACATTTAACCATGTGCAAATTGTAAATCCAAGTACCCAGTGGTGAATATATGAAGGTATGATCCATA